ATGTATGTAGAAAAACACTGAAAGAAAATATAACATAAGTAAAAATTAAAATTTTAGATTGTTACTCCCTTCTCTATCTAGCTTTGACTGGATAGAGCTTCAACTTTTCTGTTGCCAATATATTTTTTGAAGTAAATTTAAAGTACAGTATTATACTATTTCAGGTGTATGATACAATTGTATATATTACTCAGTGCTCATTAAGTTGTGCTCATTAAGACAACCTTCCCTCTGGCAACCACTTATTTGTTCTTTGTCTTTAAGAGTCTGGGTTTTTTTGTTCATCTTCTTTGTTCATTTTGTTGTTTCTTAAATTCCACATATGGTGAAATCATATGGTATTTGTCTTTCCTGTCTGACTTATTTCACTTAGCATCATACCCTCTAGGCCCAACCAAGTTGTTGCAAATGGTATATCTTGCCAATATTCTTATCTCCCTATCTGCATTGCCTCAGCCAGAAAAAAAAAATCCAGATTCAATCTGTCTGCCTTCTCGATTCCTATAGTCAGGCTGCTGAGAACTACTACAAAAATAACAAAACCGATTATAAATATTGATTGCAACTTATTACAAATAACACAACTGAAATTATTTGTGGTCTCCAGCCTAAGCTTGCTTGAAAAATCGTCACTACTTACCTACTTACCAGTAGTTCTTTCCTTTATTAACCACAACTTCATTCAGTCTCTCATATCACTGCTATCCCGTATCATAATGAAAGTCCTAACACATGCAATAAGGCTAGAAAAAGATATAAGGCCACTCTGGAAAAGAAAAATAAAACTACCCTGATTTGCAGATGACATGATTGTCTACATAGATAATTCAAAGAATCTACAAAAACTCTGAGAACTAAATAAGTGAGTTTAGCAAGTGTACAACACACAAGATCAACACAAACACCTGTTGTGTTTCTATATACTAGCAATGCACAATTGGGAAACCAAAATTAAAAACACAATACCACTTACAATAATTCCAAAACTTAAAGAGCTAGATGTAAATCTAACAAATAATATACAAGATCTGTATGCTGAAACCTACAAAATACTGATGAAAAAAACCAAAGAAGTCCTAAATAAATGAAGAGACATACTATAATCATGGGTCAGAATACTCAGTATAGTTAAGATTTCAGTGGTCCCCAAATTTTTAGACAGGTTTAATGCAATCCCAATTAAAAATGTAGCAGAATTTTTGTAAGTATAGACAAGCTGATTCTAAAATTTACATGGAAAAGTAAGGGAACTACTATAGCCAAAAATTTTCTGAAAAAGAAAATCAAAGTCAGAAGACAAAATCTGTCCAATTTTAAGATATACTATAATTCTACAGTAGTCAAGATGATGTGGTATTGGCAAAAGGATAGACCCATAAACCAATGGAACAAAATAAAAAGTAAAATTCTGAGATAGACCCACATAAAGGTGATCTATTGGTTTTTACACAAAGATGTAACCATAATTCACTGGAGAAAATACAGTTTTTCAATAAATGGTGCTAGAACATCTGGACATCACTACGACATGTATGCTTCACAACATATAAAAAATTAATTCAAAAATAGATCCTATACCTAATGTCAGATGTAAGACTATAAAACTCTTAGAACATAGGAGAAAATCTTTGTCACTTTGAGTTAGGCAAAGTTCTTATATATGACATCAAAAGTAAAACACATAAAATAAAAATGTAAAAATTATACTTGAACAAAATTTTAAATGTTTTCTCAAAAGAACACTGTTAAGAGAATAAAAAGATAAGCCACTGGCTGGGAGAACGTATTTGCAAAACATGCATCTGATAAAGGACTTATATCCAGAATATCTAAAGTGCTCTAACAGCTCAAAGATAAAAAAAAAAAAAGTAATAAAAATGGGCAAAAGGTTTGAATGGATGCTGCACCAAAAAAGTGGAAATGAGTACAAGAAAAGATGCTCAATATCACTAGCCATGAGGAAAATGCAAATTAAAATTATGAGGAGATTCCTTTACACTCATTCTGGAATGGGTAAAACAATTTTTTTTTAATGGTGATAATTCTAAGTATTGACAAGAATGCAGAACAATTGGAATTCTCATATATTTCTGGTGGGAATGCACAATAGCTCAGGCACTCTGGAAAACAGTTTGGCAGTTTGTTATAAAGTTTCTTATAAATTTAAATATACTTTTACCATATGACCCAGTAATCCCACTCTTGAATATTTCCTCTAGAATAACAAAACCTGTCTTCACTCAAAATTTGTATATGAATATAACAGCTGTATTCTATCTTAGATGGTGGTTACAAGATTCTACACATATATAAAAGCTCACAGTACACCAAACCAAAGTTCATTTTACTTTATTTAAATTTAAAAATTAAAAAAATGAAGCAAAAATACAAACTTCTGTTATGCTTCTCTCAAACTTCCTGTACCTTCTTTCCTTTCCCACTACCACCAAAGGTCTGCTTCTTAAAATAATATCTTCCAAACTTGGCTATTTTTTTTCCCTGACCATCACATTAATATACTCATTCCTTAGGAAATCTATCCATTCTCTGGCTAAAGAGTGTGTGTATATTATATATATCTATAGATAGATAGATAGATAGCGTCTCCCACACAAGATTGTAAGCTGCTTGAGGGCAAGGACTATGTATTGTTCACATTTTAGTGCCAGTCCTTAAGACAGTGCCTGGCACATAGTGTTGTGAAAATCAAGGTTAAAAAATATCTATATATCTATAGATATATAAAGATATATGCATATATACACACTGTATGTACACACTCACAAACACATAATTACTATGTTTCTCACCCAGGATTCTTTCTTGAACTCCAGACCTGAATAACCAAGTGCTTTTCAACTTCACCCACCCAAAAACCTATTTCCTGTTTTGTTCCCACTCCATCTCCTACCCACATCCAATTAATCACCAAGGTATGTTGACTGTGTTTCCTAAATATTTCTGGAAGCTGTGCATTTTCCTCTATCCTGATTACCATGACCCCAGATCATGTGTCCACCTGTGTTGCTGCAGTAGCCTCTTAATTTGTTTCCCCGCCTCCGGTCTTGCCCCTCATCCAATCCATTCCCCATATTGCAACTGGAATGATGTAAAAACTTTGTGTAATGACTCTTTCATTGGCCTCAGCACAGTGTGAACTCCTTAACACAGTTTACAAACCCTTCCATGATCTGGCCACTGTTCATCTCTCAAGGTTCCTTCCATAATTTTCAACTCCAAAGCTTCCTTTCCACTAGTTTTATCCCCACACCCTATGCTTGAACCACACTCTACTACTTCCAATCCCTCAAACACACACCTGCTGTTTTCCATTATTGGAATGCTTTCTCAGCAGCCTCCCCCCTCCCCCACTCCAGTCTCCTCATCTGGCTATATAATATTTATTTTTTCAGGTTTCAGCTTCCACACCATTTACTCAGGGTATGTCGCTGACCTACATAGCTAAGTTCTATGTCCCTTCTGGATGCTACCATAATAACACTATGAGAACACTTTTATTCTGTGTTGTAATAATCTACTTACTTGTCTGTCTTCCACACTAGATTGTAAGCTCCTTGAGGGCAAGGACTATGTCTTGTTCACATTTTAGTGCCAGTCCCTAAAACAGTGCCTGTCACATATTAAGTATTCAATAAATATCTGTAGAATGAATGATAAGGAGGGAGAATGAAAAACAGGCTCTGAGATTATAGGTCCTTGTTTTTCTTTATTTTCTATATTTTCCAATTATTCTATGATGAATATGAATTGTTTTTATATTAAAAACTCATTACAATTAATTTTATGGGTGCCTGGGTAGCTTAGTCAGTTAAGCTTCCAACTTCGGCTTAGGTCAGGATCTCACCGTTCGTGAGTTCCAGCCCCGCCTGGGGCTCTGTGCTGACAGCTTGGAGCCTGGAGCCTGCTTCAGGTTCTGTGTTCCCTTCTCTCTCTGCTCCTCCCCCAAAAACACTCTGTCTCTCAAAAATAAACATTAAAAAAAGTTTATTAAGCATATTTATAACAAAAAGAGAAAAAACTATGAAGAAAATTAAAATCACCTATAATTCCACCACCTAAAGATAAGTCATGTAAACATTTTGTTGTATCTCTTGCAATATTTTCTACGAATGAATTTTTTAAACATTGAGATCATACTGTCAGTTTTGAATTCTTCGTTTTTCATTAATGTCAAAAGTAACTTCCCATTATATCAAGTTATTATTTATTTAATCAATTTTATGCTTTCCAACATTAAGATTTTATCTGAGTTTTCACTATTATGAATAAGGCCATCAATATTTCATTGAACGTTAATCTTTTATCTCATTTATAATCATTTTCTTAGAATAGAATCTTACAAGCAAAACTACTGGTATGAACTTAATTTTAAAACTCTTAAAATATATGGCTTGTTTTCCAGAAATCTTATACTAATAATAGCTACTTCAGGAACTTTATACTAACAGTAGTTACTTCAGTGCCTACTATATGCCAGACTTTGTTAGGTAGATTTTATTGTGTTGATTTTACAGATGAAGAAACTAAGGTCCATTTATGTTATTTGTCCAGAGTCACAGAGATAACGAGTTTCAAAGCTAGAATTCAGATTCAGAATTGTCCACTTTCAAAGCTTATTTTCATGTGAATTTCAAAAAAAAAACACATTTTTGTGTTATCAGTTATATATTTACTTGAGAAAATGTGGAAAATACAAGTAGAAAGTAATGAAAATAAAAATAAATTACCCATGAACCCACCACTTTGAACAATCTAGTATATTTTCTCAGTCTTTTTTTCCAGGTACAACTTTTGGGTTAAAAATAATTATTACATTATTATATGATTTTTCATCCTGCTCTTTTCACTTAACATTTTTCGGTGCTGACCCATATGTTTCATAAACATAATTTTAATGATTGCATATTCTCAATGGATGTTACCATGTAGATATTTACAGTTGTTCAGCTCACCTGTGAATTTCTTTTTTTCATTCCCAGGACCCTCCATCTCCCATGAGGCTTACAGAATTCAATGTTGGGAACCATTTTAATCTTCAAAATAAGTCACCATTGTGGATTGAAAGCTTCACAATTTAAAAGCATTCCATCAAATATTTGCTGTGCAGATAGATGTTTCAGGACTTTACAATCTATTTAATTTACTAACTGAACCCATTGATCTGGTAGCAATTAATTCAAGACAGTCTTCCTCTCTTTCTTCATTTCCCCTCCCCAATCTGTAAAAACCTGAATGTAACATATATACCTTCCCAGAGACTCTTGTTATTTCTCTTGTCGGGTAAAGAGGAATTCAAAAGACTTCCATGGAGTCTTTCACTCCCCTGGAAAGACTGTTAATTATCTTTATAGGGTCTTTGTGGTATTGAGGGGAATCAGATATGTTTGCTGCTTGTGTGCCTGTGCATTTATAAGCATGCATATGTGCAGCATATTTACACAAAATTCTGCTGTGTGTTATGAAAATCAAGGTTAAAAAATCCAAGGTTTTTATTCAACTCTGTGTTTTTCCCTAAATAGCAATTTAAATATTTGCTGGGCTGTGAAAACCATCCCTATTTCAGGCATGTAAAATTCAAGAGGCAGATTCAACACCCCATAATCAAGGTCCTCAATTGGGAATTGAACAATGCAAAGCCTGTTCTCTGTCATAAATGTGTAATGTTCCTGAAAGCACCACAACTAATAGAGAAGATCAGATCTCCACTTTATTAAATAAACATAAGTGTTTTAAAGACTTTTAATGTCAGGCTTTGGTAAAATTCTCCAGTTACTTTTATTATTTTCTCTGATACCTAGCTTTTTTTGCCTATATTAATTGTTCTTATGATGAAAGAAAAACCATAACCCTAAGTTATGGACCATAGGTTTTGTTAGGGGCTTAAAGATAATTTTCAGGTTTAATTACAAAACTGTTCATAAGGTAAGGCTTCATAGTTGAAATTAGCCTAAGGATTAGCACTAAAGATCTTTGTTTTCACAGCAGGGGTTAGTGTACAGACAATGATAACCCATAGTAATATGCCAATACTTTCTTTTCCTTTTTTTTTCCTTTTCTTTTTCCTTTTTTTTTTCCTTTTTGTAGCTTCAGTGGTAGCTCAGCCATTAAGATAGTTTACATTCATTTTCCAATTTATTTATAATCAACCTTTCTTTTAGTCCTAGTGCCCAAATCAATGAGTATGAACACTAATGCTGCTTCTTTATAATAATACCTAAGAACATTGATGGTTTTCATTTCTCAGCCAGTGTTCTTGTGCCCAGCTACTGACAACAGAAGTCCCAACTCTTGCAGAGATTAGTGGGAATTAGAGGCATCTTACAGATACCAAGGAGTTAAGCTCCTATAAGGACATTAGGTTTACTAAATTATGCCCCCTAAAACCTTTTTGAGTAAAAGAAAATTTGCCTACTACAAACTATTTGATGTTCAAACTCCAGTGGAGGTGAGAAGGTGAGCAATTTAGCTACTTAAAGAAACAAAAAACTTGTTCATTTAGATCCTCTAGGTAATTTTGGTCGAGGTAAGACTTTTAGCATAAATTAAATGGATTGTGGCCAGCATTTCATTTGAAAGAATACTATATGTGACAAAATCTATTAGGGCCAGGGAATGTTTCTCAAACTCAGATGCTAAGAAGCAACCTAGAAGACTATACACACTAGGTTTCACAATGACCTCATGTATGGGAAGCTTTTTCCCCCTTTCTTCCTCCAAAACACTCTCTTGTTTAGGTTTTTCTTGAAAGTTTATTTGGCCATTCACATGGTATTATGATGGACAAACCTTGCCTTTTATTGATATAGTAATGCACCTTTCTCTAAAGATAGGCCATTATTTACTCCACAGTCAGTGGGCTTCGAAGAGGTCTCTCTCTTTCCCATCATCTTCTGCCAAGGTTTAGGCAGGGTAGCTTCTCACTATGATTCAAAGTCAGGAAAGAATCGACCATTTCTTTGATGCATAGAGTGTATCAGAGTTTGGCACTGATAGAAATCAGGTCATAAAAGATAGTATCAAGAAATTATAGGGAAGTACTGGAAGGAAGAGTAAAGCTCAGGAGAGCTATAATGCAAAGCTGACTTAAACCATCTTCAAAGGGCCAAATAAGAGTTTTAAGTAGGGGGGCTTGGAGAAATAAATCCTATTCCTATCTCAGCACCTTTATTCCACTAGCTTATAGACTCTAATAATACCCCATCCATAGATCATTGAGTATTGCCTACCGTACATAGGCACTCCCCCTCATTGATTGACTATTGATTGACAGAGAGATTAACCTAATAATTAGTATATCTTGATCTGGCTCTGTTGCTTGTTTTCCTTGAGGCCCTGTCAAATAACCTCTGTGGGATCTCATTCCCCAATTTTTTGGTACCCATATTCCACATTTGCAAAATTAAGATACTCATTATTAGGATCCTAAAACTGCTAAAGGTGCTATGTAACTCCCTAGTGCTCTTATATAAGTCTTTCATTGAAGGACTGGGATGAAAACTTGAACCATAACTAACCTAACCAGTGTGCTCCATTCTTTCTTCCATGCCCACATTGCTGACTTGTTCTTGCAGAGTTTAGAATACTTTATTAAAGTTCTTCAATTCATTCTAACAATGTCCTTGGAATAGAAATTATTTTACCCATGGCACATCTAGGAAAATTAAGGCCAAAAAAAAAAATTAAGTGGCCTCCAAAAGCACATAGCTGTCTGGGACAGAACTCAGTTATCATGTCCAGTGAATGTTAGACTGACTTGGCTTCCCAGTACTGGAATTACCATGGAACAGCTTAGAACACTGAGGTAAATTAGGGCAGGATCACATTTCAGAAAATTTCCACTTTGTCCAACATCTAAAAGTATGCAATTAAATAACTCTTATTTTCTATGTGATATAAATGTTATATATGTCTCTTTCCCACATTGGTCCCATGTAACTCACATATTTCACACTATGTGACATCAGCCAGTGCCATTATCTCCTCTGGCACCCATAGAGCCCAATCTCAGGGCTGTCCTTGCCAGAGAAAAGAATGTGCTTCCCCATGTTTATGCCAAATTGCACAAAGTGTAGACATTGAGGTTAATGGAGATTTAAGCACAATCCCAAGCAGGTATGTTTTAAGAATATTGAATGTACATTATTGTGACATGCACCTGAAATGTAACATGGCCTAAATTCATAGGAATGTAACAGTCATGCAAAGCTTATCCCTTTTACCTCTCATCACACATATATATCTACTACATACATGTGTGCACACATATATACACACTACATGCTTCCCTCAAAGTAGGCTGCTTGGTCATCAGGTGCAAATACTTTAAAGGAATGATTCTTTGTCCTCTCCTTTTAGAAAAAAGTCCAACAGCCACTTCAAGTGAAGAACACTCCATTTATACATTCTAAAACTTCTACTTCCAGAGTAGCTATGATATTCAGTTGGTGCAAAAGACAAGATTGTTAAACCCTTTCACAAGTCCTATGTTCTTAGAAAATTTATGAGTTCCATGTAATCAGTAGGAAATGGTTTATGAGGCATGGTACATCTGCATTTCTTTAACCTTTGCTGTAATGTACCATATTAAGTTGTAGTCTTTTGCATGCAGGTTTTATGTAATATAATAATGAATGGGTGACTCCTAAGAGCATGCAACCAACAACTATTTGCTTCCCCAAAAGGGCTAGGACTGTGTCCTGCAGTGTTTAAAACTATTACATTTGTTCTTTGTAGCAGAGTGGTATGTGGCCATCAGCAGAATGAGTTAAGATGGACAATGAGTGCAATATATCAGGAAACAGATTTTTTGTAGGGAATGACAGTAAAGGCAAAAAAAAACAAAAAACAAAAAAACAAAACAAAACAAAACAAAACAAGGTAAGATGTATTCAAGGAATAATTGCTGTCACCCTGCTGGATAAATCAGCAAAGAGACACAGCATGAAAGCTGGTACTTAGTCTTGGTAATATATGAAATATATTGGAGAGCCAGAAAAAGAAAGGCACTGGGGCTCTAGCAGTTAAGCTCAACTTGCCAATTTGCTACAAATCCTTTTTTTCCACTAATCTGCTCAAAGTTATTGTATACAGTATTCTCTAAATCACGTGTCTTGCTACAGAAATATCCACAAAGTTTTATCTTCCTATGTCCTTTATTAAAAGCATATGCATAAAATTGTTGTTTCTTTTGTATATTATAGTTTTGTTAACGTTGGCAAAGCTTAAAATTCCAGGCAACTTTGATGGAAATTTCTATACATCTGATTTCATGGGGCTGTAGTAGAGTTTATTCACTCCCAGGTTTATTGGTATGTGTGTTATGTAGACTCTTCTGTAACATATCTACTGAAGAGCCCCCAACCCTGTGCTCCGTATTTCTTATGCACCTACATGGATGTGAGTTGGGAAATTACCAGCAATGGTTTTTAGGTAGAAAGCTGACTAGTCTAATGGCACTTCATCATGTTTGGTCTCTGCTCAGCCTCACATCTTTTGTCTTTCCCTCTGTTGTCATGATAAGTAAAAAGAAAAAGAACTTTTCTTATGTGACTAAGGATAAGAATTCTGGTTTATTTTTTCTTACACTGAAAATTATGTTTATTATTCTCCAGATGCATGTCACCTGAAAAAAAGAATACAATGATCCTGAGAAAAGAACACAGTGGCACACTTGCTCCTAAATTATACATTACCCTCAGAGAAATATTTCAAGATACCCTCATTAAGTAAGCCCCAAAGTTTCCCTCAATAGGTGCACCATTTACACAAAAAGACCTTTTCAGACAGAATGAAGAAAAGCCTCTCAGCCTAAAAGAAGGTATAAATCATTGGAAATGCAAAGTGTTTAAAGTTGTTTAGAACAGTCATTGCTGACCTCAACTAAATAATAATGGAGAACTTGAATTGGGAGAAGCCCAGCCCATAGAGGTCAGGCTTAACATAAAACCAGAAAAAAGTCTTTTATTACAGTTAAGCTTATAAAAGTACATAATTTATCTTAGGTAAAAACCTCAAACATCTCACCTGAAAAATCCCATTTCATTTATTCCAATATACCAGCTACAAACAGCTTGAATTTGCATCACAGTGTAAAAAAACTCAAATACTACAAAGAAAATACAATTAATTTCTTTCTAGGTTAAAAAAAACGGCATAAAAGAGGAG